CTTGTAGCACTCTCCGTCCAACTCATGGAACCCTGCCTACCTCCCCTTCTCCCTCCCCCAGTATTCCTCTCCACCAAGACCTTAACGTGAGATGCGCTGCCCGACGACGTCCAGACGCGCTCCTCCATGCCTCGTGATCCCACTCCCACCTCCTTCTCTTGCCGTTGAAGCGCCCCAACCGCTCTTGGTTCCTGCCCGCACCACGAGGCCCGCCATCGCGTCCAAACACCGGGCGGCGGAGCGCTCCCGGTAGCGCTCCGCCGCCGCTTGCTCTAACCACTGAGCTACATCAACTCGGTTCAGTCAATGGAGTAAGAGAGAGAAAAGTGGAATTTCTATTGTCGTAGAGTGGGATTTCTAGTGGCATAGTGGAATTTCTAGTGTTGTAGAGTGTATAGGTGCAAATCGTCAGTGTGACTGGCCTTCAGCAGTTCTAAACCGGTTCATTCAATGGAGTAAGATAGAGGGAAGTGGAATTTCTAGTGTCATAGAGTGAAATTTCTAGTGTTGTAAAGTGTATATGTGCAAATCGTCAGTGCTACTGGCCTTCAAAAGTTCTAAATCGGTTCATTCACTGGAGCAAGATAGAGGAGAGTGGAGTCTCTAGTGTCAGAGTGGAACTTCTAGCATCGCAAAGTGGAGTTTCTAGTGATGAAGAGTGTGTAGGTGGAGATCGTCAGCGAGACTGGCCTTCAAAAGTTCTAAACCGGTTCATTCATTGGAGTAAGGTAGAGGAAAGTGGAGTTTCTAGTGTCATAGAGTGGAATTTCTAGTGTTGCAGAGTGGAGTTTCTAGTGACATAGAGTGTATAGGTGCAAATCGTCAGAGTGACTGGCCTTCAATAGTTCTAAACCGGTTCAATCATTGGAGTAAGATGGACGAAGGTGGAATTTCTAGTGCAGCAGTGGAATTTCTAGTGCAGCAGTGGAATTTATAGTGCAGCAGTGGAATTTCTAGTGTGGTGCTGGCCCCATTGGACTATGTTTTGGTCTTTGTGGGGCAAGTAGGTTTCTCTGGAGTAAGGGGCAAGCTCCGCTGCAGTATGTTCACTTCTTTGCGTGGAAATCTGACGGTAACGATCTGCCTGTGAAAGCCAAATTGAATGCTGTATACCATGCGTTAGATATCTGAGCTGTCCTCTTTCCTGCGCGCATAGTGCATCCTGATCATGACTGATACAAGGTATCTTTCCAGTCCAATACAGGTCCGTCGAAGGCACGTATGGTAGTCCGTGGAAGAGGGGAGACATAGGCTACATTCTTGGCTTTTATAAAGAGTTCGGGTCATGCGCGTTGATGGCACATAGCTCGGCTTGATATAATTTCTCCATGCAGCCCACAAAATAAATAAATAAATAAATAAATAAATAAAAAAAATAAAAATAAAAATAAAAATCAGGAATCTCGAAGTACGTTCCTTTGACAGATTTGCAGGGAGCTCAAAGTATGTTCCTTCGACAGATTAGGGATTGTGTCTTTTGTAAGTTCTAGTGTCGATGGCGCTGAAGATTGTCAACGTCAACCTTTTCTCCGGGGATCGCTGGTCTTCGCACTTTTCAAACAGTTACAGCTGATGTCTTCCCACGAATAGAACATACAGTTTGTTGATATTTTGCCTGTATTTAGGTGAACTATCCGTCTAGATACGGCGCAGCTGATGTCCTCCCTCGAATAGAACATACAGTTTTTTATGTTGCCTGTATTTAGGGGAACTATCTGCCTAGATACGGTGCACAGCTAATGTCTTCCCCCGAATAGAACATACAGTTGTTGCTATTGCCTGTATTTAGGGGAACTATCAGTCCAGATACGGCGACATGTTCTGTTCGGGGGAAGACCTTACCCATACATCTCAGCATGGAGTTGTGGACCCAGTCACCCTTATTTCCTGATAGCTGGGGTAGAATGGGAGAGCCTTCCTCTTCTTGCCCTCGATATCATTGTTGACATACAACTCAGTATGCAATGCATTGGGACATTTACGACATTTCTGTCATGATGTTGGATACATATAGCGCATGGGATCTGCCGTCCATCCTCCTCGACCTCATCCTCGTCCTCGTCCTCATGCTATGAGCTCTGACAACTTGTGACCAGTACAGTGGTTTATTCTCATATCCCATTTCGCACCATTCTTCGAGCAGTATGGTCGGTACGCCTTTGTGCCGCGCTGTGAACTAGGCCTCAAAAAACATATCCAAAAATCGGGCCGCAAACTAGGCCTCCTGGCCGCGGCTATGACCTTTCCGGCCGCGGCGGACGAATTGCCTGCGGCCTAGGCCGCGGGTGTCACGTAGCAGTGAGGTGGCTGCCTGGCTGGGTTGTTAGATGGACTGCCGTGCTGCTTAGCTTGCTGGCAGTGCGATGACGGACTGCCTTCCCGTCTGGGCAGCTGGATGGACGCCTACCTGCGCAGCACGGTTGCTGCCTTGCTTGGATGCATGCCTGCCTGTTGCTAGCGAGCTACACGAGTGGGTCTCTTGCCATGTGGGTGCTCCACCTGTCTTCCACCGAACACAACGGACCATAATTGCAACTGCACTAGGCTAGGAAGATAGCCTGTATAGAGTCACAATGAGGGTGTGTTGGTGTTCCGGGGAAGATGGTAGCTTCTTGCGCTCGTGGTTGCTTGGCTGCTGTACAGATTAAAGAGATGTGCAGTATGATATACTCTGTCCAGAAACATATCCAAGCTCACACACCAAGATCAAATGTCAAACGGCTACTGAAGTCTGATGAAGCAACTCAGTCTTGAAGTCAAGATGGCCAGGACGAGCTCAAAGAGCGAGGCGACAAAGCTGATTGAACAAAACAAAAAGCAGAGGCAGGCAAAGCTGATCTAACAAAACAAAAAAGCAGAGGCAGGTGAAGGAAGCAGCAGAAGTCAAAAGTCACACAGTGAGATGGGAACACCTTGTGGATCCGCGTTCGCCGCTTCCTCGTGGATCCAGGTTCACCACTTCGGTGTTCAACCATGTGTTCATTTGCACCCATGCCTACCATAGTGTTACGTAGACCGCGACTAGTTAGTAGCCGTTCTTCTTCTTCTTCTTCTTCTTCTTCTTCTTCTTCTTCTTTACTACATTTATCTATTTATTTATTTATTTATTATTATAGAAGATGGCTCCAATCTATTGGTGGGGAGCTGCAGCTGCTGGAAACGGGGTTCGGCGTCAGAGCCAATTTACGAGGCATCATTACCAATGAGCAGCATTGATTGCCCTCATGTGAGGGGAGTAAGTAGCCATTCTTCTTCATCAAGTGCAATGATGGAGAATGAAGACGAGTCTGAAGTGGACGATATGGTGAGCAAGAATGTGTTCCACCTCATACTCAAATATGCCAGTGAACCGCTCCGGCGTTTGGGCAGCCCTAAACTGTCGAACAGGGACTCAGGCTACCCGACCCTACTGAAAGCCGTTTCCTTTTTCCTATTTATTTAGAGGCAGATGATGGCTACTCCGTGTAAGCTGGTTAGTGTCTTTATTATTTTTCTTTTGATCTGTTAGCTCTCTTTTTGTTTTTGTTTTTGTTTTTAATCGGCCGCGTTTTCACTATTGGCTGTTAGGGTTTGTTGCCCAACTATGCCGGTTGCTTGGTCATGCACTTATGGGCACCCATGCTTGCCCAGGTAGTGTTGCAAAGGCGACATAGAAATAACCCTTGCACTTCATCAAGAGGAGAAGAGGAGGGGGGGGGGGGGAGATTTTGTGTTTTGCACGAAGGGGGGCATTGCACCACCCCTTCGTACCGTATGCACAAAAGATGAGAATTATGGCGGTGCACCTTTTCATGTTTTAGGGGAAGGTTCATTATCATTTTGCACATTACGCTAGTGGTGGAGCCAGCCCCAAAGATTTGGTATGGTATCTCCTGCTTTGTTCGTCAAAGCTGCATCTTCTCATGTTTTACCAGAAGATTCATTCTCATTTTGCACATTATGTTCGTGGTGGAGCGAGACCCAAAGATGTGGTCTTTCCTGATTTGTTCATCAAAGGTAACTTCTTGAGCGCCTTTTTGTGGCACTATCTTTGTGGCAGGCCCCTGTCCAACCACTGCTCAACTTTGCACTATGCCCCTGGGCTCCAACTGCGGGACCGCAATGTTCAATGCATGGTTTGCCGGTCCCGCCAGAAGGCGGACTGGCAGAAGTACCATGGAGTCCTTCAAAGTTGGAACTTGGAACTACCAACTGAAGGGGCCTACCAAAAGGATGTTGGGCCCAATAAAAGAAGGTGCTGGATATTCAATAGAACTTGTTAAAAAGTTTTTAAGAACATGTTGGATAGTCGGCAAGGAAGTTCGCACCGCAGAGGGGCAAATCAGAAAATACTGCATCTTTGAGGGGCAAAATGCCAATATGTTCCCAAAGAAACCCCCAAATCCATGGCCTTGGACTCTTGGTATTATAGTATTTGTCAAATGACTCACATCCACTGGGTAATTGTGTGCTGTTGGCCACATGCAGTGTACGGATTGAACCCGTGCACTTGTTAACGGGAAGTGGAACTCGGCCCAGAGTGATGTCATCAAACTTGGCCCCGATTTTTTTGTTTTTTTTTTGCTTTTTGGGAAGATTTGCAAAATATCCCTAAGAAGTTGACGTATATGCTAATATACCCCGCAAAGATGTGGGTAGAGTTGAATACCCCTCTGAAATTTCAAAAATTTGGCAAAAGCGCTTTTGCATTTAAATCTTTGCATTTTGTCCCTGTCAGGGGGTTGAGCAAGTTTGGGTTTTGTCCCTGACGGGGGGGTATAACATAAATTCGGCAACCCCCTGAGAGTGACATAGCATAAAGATTTTCGAGAAGGGCATTTCACAAAGTTTGGAAGTGTCAGAGGGGTAAGGGTTATATCGCAAGTTCTCCCTTTTTGTTTTCACATCGGTGGCTTTTGTCAACATCATCGTATACGGAAGAGCATGCACCGACTTGGAATTTCTGCACGTATTAGACCGGGATTGCGTTCCAGGCGGCAAAGTCCAACCGCCGAGTGCCGTGTGGCCCCGCCAGTTGCGCGCGCTACGTGGTGGGGCGTCACGCTGACAAGGCGAGGAGGAGGAGAGGGGAGCGGCGAAGGAGGTGGAGGCGACTACCGCTAGACGGCTGGACGGGGGGAAGGGGGGAAAAGGGAGTGAGGTTGGGGTGAAGACGATCGAGAGGACGCATATGGTGCAGCAAGGAACCCATCTATGAGAGTGATTGATCAGCGTAGCTTGTAAAACCGAACCTTCACGCCGTTCACGGTGAGTTTCCCTTTGCCACGTCATGCGCTTCGTCCGCCCGCTCATAATCCCCTCCCCGACTCCCGCGGCTCCTTCGCCGCTTTCTCCCTCATCTTCGTTGCCTTCTGGCGCCGTTTCCCGTCGTTTCCCGCGGTTTCCCGCCGTTTCCCGCCGTTGCCCAATCTCTTCTGCTTCTCGGCCAGCTTCTCTGCCGCCGTTTCCCGCCGTTTCCCGCCGTTTCCCAATCTCTTCTGCTTCTCGTCCAGCTTCTCTATCCCTCACCAGCGCTCGTACTCCGGGGCGAGGTCCCACTAGCAAAGAGGATTGGATGGAGCTCCTGAATCTGGACGAGTTTTAAGCAGAGATGCAGAAAAGCAGTTCAATCTCGATTTTCTGCATCTGTCCAAAAAGCACGTCCACATTCAGGTGGTCGATCCAATCCTCTTTGCTAGTGGGACCCGGTCCCCGGCAATCTCCAGGCCCTTGCGCCTTTCGTCCACTGCCTGCCCGCCCGTCCTCCCCCTCCTCCTCCTCCTCCTCCTTTTATGGAACCTCTTCATAGCAATTCCTTTCTCCCTTTTCCACTATCCTCCTCCTCCTCCTCCTCCTCCTCCTCTTCCTCCTCCTCCCTTTCCTCCTCCTCCTCCTCCTCCCCTTCCACCTCTTCCTTTTATGAAATCTCAGAGTGAGTCTTTTCCTCTTCCTCTTCTTCTTCTTCTTCTTCTTCTTCTTCTTCTCCGCCTCGTACTCCCGTTCTTCAATGTTTCCCATTTTTTTTTGTGGCATTTTCTTTATCTTCCTTTTCTAATTGCAGTCCTCTGTTATGCATTGCCGCTGCTCTACCGTCTTGCCCCTCGAATACAACGCCCCTCCATCCATCGTCACTGTCTCACACCGGAACCATAGCTTGTTGACATTCATGATGAGGGTGCGTTGTGTTCGAGGTTTTGAGAAACGATAAGCTGATAGGCGATCCGTTATGTCGGCTCTACTTCCGCCTCTCAGTCCCTCAATCCCTCAATCCCTCAAATCCCCATCTTCATCCTCGCCCTGTGATCCCTCCCCTACTCCATGGCTGTTTTGCTGGCTCATCTAGACGCCTGTCATCGATATGGTCCACGTCATCACTTGCGCTTGATGCACACAACCGCAAGCCATCTTACAGCATGTCTACGTGGCCTCCTATCCCTCCTCTCTTTTTTTTTTTTTTTTTTTCCTTTCATATTCTCCTGTTGCGAATGATGAGTTAACCCGGCCGGCGTACCCATATGCCGGAAAAATCCGTGTGAATCTCCCGCCGTCTTAAACGCTGAGACCTCCCAAAAAACAAGTCACTATCTGTCCTCCCTCTTCCTTTCTCTCTGCCTGATGATGACCATCGTTCACTTGCTCTTCGGAAATGGAAAACCCATCATCGACGTGTCAGCCTTGATTATGTCCATCCTGCTCCTGCATCCTGCTGATAATCCTCCTCCTCCTCTTCCTCCTCTTCCTCCTCTTCCTTGTCCTCCTCCCCCTTCTGATCCTCCTGCCTCTTCGTGACACGATCTCTTCCCTTCCCCCCCCCCCCCCCCCCCCCCCCCCCCCCCCCCCCC